CTTAGCGGCGCTTCGGCCGGGCCGCGGGTGCCGGTGCGGCCGTTCCCCAGGGAGGGGTTTGGGAGCAAGTTGGGTCGGCCCCGGTGGTGCTGGGCTGAGCTGGGTCACCCCCGATCCCCGGCAACTCTTCCTGTCCCTCCCCCTCAACTCTCACATCGTCCCTCAGAGACCCCCAGTCAGGCAATATACCTTCCCTGCAGAAGTTACCTTCTCTTTGAAATGGTGAAATTGAAGGGTAAATTTGCAGGGAGAGCGGTTTAAGGGTAGTGCTGTGGCCCCGAAGCTGCAGGTGGCCGTAGCAGAGCTGGAGAGTTCCCAGATTTACAAGGGACCGGCTGGGTTTTTGTCCCAGGCTGGTCTGTTTGACACAAGAAGGTCTGGGAGGAGCAGGAGAACAGGGTTTTGCTGGATGTTCCAGCTGCCAGCAGAACAGAACTTCTTCTCTAAGCTTTTCTAGTGATGGCTCATATTTTTTTCTTCCTCTCTTCCCCTCCCCTTGTTTGACTTCCTGATACCCTGTAGAGGTTATTGGGAGTTTCATTGATAGGGTTGGTAAGTCAATTTTTGTTTGGTTGGTTTTTTTCCTCCAAGTTTTCTTAAATTTGGCCAAAATAAAGTCAAGAGAACAATGGGCAAAAGTGATGTTTTGATCCTAAGTTACCTGTTGGTACCCAGAGCCTTTTAGGTATTTTAGTGAGGACACCCTTTGAATCAACAGCAGAAAAGGATTTCCTTTCAAAACTGAGGAACTGCTGCTTTTTTTTAATTACAATTTCAACACATTTACACCATACGAAAACGTAATTGCATTATTTTGACTGTTACAGATGTTTTCAGCCTATGTGGTCTCTTGGTAAAAAAATAATCCCCAGGCATGAGTTCTTGTGGCACTTGGTTACTCAGAGTTAACAAAAATGGGCAACCTGTCTGCAGACTCTGTTACCTAATGTCCTTTGCCCTGCACCTCCTGGTGTCAGTGGTGTGCAGGAAGCAGGGCTTGGATTTTGTGGTGTGTTTTTTTAATTTCAGACAGGTGGATCTTTCCTACAGCTCTGAGAGTCTCTTCTGGGTCTTCATTTGCATTTGTGTATGGAGGTGATAGAACCATAGAATCATTTTGGCTGGAAGAGACCTGTAAGATCCTCCAGTCCACCCCTGCCCCCAGCACTGCCAGGTCCCCACTGCCCCGTGTCCCTCACACCACATCTCCACAGCTTGGAAACCCCTCCAGGGGTGGGGACTCCACCACTGCCCTGGGCAGCCTGGCACAGCCCTGGGCAACACTTTTGGGGAAGATATTTTTCCTCATGTCCAACCTGTATGTCCCCTTGACACAACTTGGGGCTGATTCCTCTTGTCCTGTGGCTTGTCCCTTGGGAGCAGAGCCCGACCCCCCCCTGGCTCCAGGCTCCTGTCAGGAGCTGTGCAGAGCCAGAAGGTCTCCCCTGAGCCTCCTTTGCTCCAGGCTCAGCACCCCCAGCTGCTCCTCACCACCCTTGTTCTCTAGCCCCTTCCCCAGCTTTGTTGCTCTTCTCTGGACAAACCCCAGCCCCTCAATGTCTTTCTTGTCGTGAAGGACCCAAAACTGAACCCTGGATTCAAGGTGTGGCCTCCCAAGTGCTGAGTCCAGGGGGACAATCCCTGCTGTAGTCCTTCTGTTCACTATTTTAGGAATGCTTGCACCTTTCCAGCCCCAGCAGGGGAGGAGGAGGAGGAGGAGGACTCTTCACTGACACCCATGTTCTCCCCAGTGGTAGGACTGGCTGCTCCTCCAGCCCTACTCATGTGGAGTGGTTGGAGTTGGTAGCCAAGAAAGCCTCTGGAGATCCATGGGGCTGAGGCAGGGTGTGAGATCAACTAACTCCTTGATCACTGATTCAGAGATGAGCATTTTCCCTGCTTGATTTTCAGTTTGGGCTCCTATAACCTCAAGAAGGAAGGAAAAAGGCAACTTTGTGTGTAGCAAGATCACAATATTAAATATGAACAAGGCACCTCTGGTCTGTGCTTAAAAACCAGCTAATTACTTGGGGTTATCTTGCCTAGTTTTCCTTGCTTTGCTCTTCAGGGGGAAGGGACCAGGGAGTCCAAAATCCTCCTCTTAATTCAAGCACCATGAGAGAGTTGACTTTGGGAGGGACTTCAGAGTGAAGTTGAACCCGTGCAGCTTTTCTCCAAGTGGACCCAAAATCAGCTGTAGAAGTGAAACTGTTTTAAATGGCAGCAACTTTGGCAAAGTCCTGATGGTGGTTTCATTGTTCCTTACAAATTAGATTGTCTAGGTCATGCCAAGGGCAATAACAACTTTCATACAGTCAGGTTGAGAATGTTTGCCTGTTCATCCAATTAGGTATTTTTAGATGTCTTGGAGGGTTGGCAAAATTAAAGAGAAGTGAAAATCACCTTTTTAGAAGGGACAGGAGTAGAACCTTGCTAGAATAACTTGAAAATGGTGAGGAGAAAACCCAACCATCTCCTGCCTCCAGGGAGCCACTGTATGAGGCCAGTTTTGTGTGTATGTGATGGAATTAGTTGGTGGTGTGCTCCTGGTGTTTACAATTTGAGATGTGGGGGCAGAAAGCAAGCTAGACAGGCTCACAGGATTTTGCTAGAATGCTGGAAGACTTTTTTCTTTCTTCTAGAAGACCTGAGAGGGCTTTTCACTAAGTTCAAAGGGTGTTGGGTTGGTTTTATGGCATAAAATACTATCAAGAAGTTCTCATCTCTAGACAATTTTTACACAAGGTGAATTTGCAGCATCCTACAGTTCTTAATAGTGTTTGCTGTTGCTTAGTGTTGCTTGGGTGTGGAAGATTTCTGACTTAACTCCTTATAAATTCATCCAAACCTCAGCCCAGCCCACCTGTGACTTCTCCATAGATTCCTTCCCCTCTAAGCCCAACTCTTATGCAAACACCTTGTTCCTCCTTGCTGCAGGTGTGGCCATTGTCAACGTCTCCAGCCCACGTGGAACGATTTGGGGGATAAATACAACAGCATGGAGACCCCCCAGGTCTATGTGGTGAAAGTGGATTGCACCACAGACACCCCCCTCTGCTCTGAGTTTGGTGTCCGTGGGTACCCTACGTGAGTACAAAAGGGTGGCTGCTCTCATTGCTTTCCTACTTTTCCATCATCTTCTGCCAATTTGTTGAAGTTTACTCCCAAGCTGTATTTTTTTTGGTGGGATTCTTTGCAGCCCTTTAGACCTCCTGTTCTTTTAAAGCCTTTTTTACCACGTTGCCAAGTGTTGTATGCTACCTACTACTCTTATTTCTTTTTAAAAGAAGCTGTTTTGTATCTTGGAAGATAGCTGTGTGGAAATAAAGTCCAGAATTGTCCTTTTCTCTCCTGGGAGAGCATCTCTTTCTGACCCAGCAGTATATTCCACAGCCATGATATGTAGGATAGAGCAGGTTTCTGGTAACAGTATTTTTAAAAATAACCTGTCAGGAGTTTGTCAGGACACCTCAGCATTTGTAATTAACATCTACATCTGCTCCTTGCAAAAAGGCATCATCTGCTTTACTAATTACTCATCTGTGGGGGGTTAAGTGGTGAATATCATCATCTGTAGCCCTTCCACAGCCTCTATTTTAGTTGTCCCCCCTTTGCTTGCTGACCCCAGCAACAAACTGAACCTGACCCAGGCTCCTGGCAGCACCCACTTGGAGGCAGATGAGTGTGACTGAGGAGAAGTTGAGAGAGTTATAAATAGCAAAGTCCTTCTGGAAGGAGGAATTGTCCTTAGGGGCAGTTTGTGGCTCAGTTCCACTAGAAAATACCAAGAAACCATGAATATTACAACTCTGGTTTAATATACCCAATATTTGAATGGATGCTGTAGCTTGTAAAACAGAGAGTGGCAGAGATTTTTAATAAGAAATAAATTAATGGATGTGTAATTACACTTCCCTCTCCTCCTCTCTAAGGTCATTGAATATCTAGGAATAGTTGATGGGGAAAAAAAAAGCTGATAACACCTTTTTTTCTTTTCTTGTTACTCTTCAATCTTATTTTCATGAAGTGCTTTTTAGGTGTTCTTCTGTTCCATCTTTATTGCTTCCTTCTTATTAGAAATTTGCTGGCTCTTTTTCCCCCCCAAAAAATATAATCATTTGATTTTCTATCCTCAGCAGGAGCATTGGAGAACACCTTAAACAGAAAAATCAGTAGTAGAAGCTTTAGGTAGTTATGGAAAATTTTGATAGCACTTATTAAATGTTATCATCACAAAGCCTGGAATCCTGACAAGCAATCACTTATCTCTTTGTCCTATTGACTGGTTTCAGCCTGGTTTTTAATCAGTTTAAGACCACATGAGGAGTCCTGCATTCCAAGAGCAGTCAGGGAACAGAATAGGAGAAAGAAATCCCTGGGAAAATAAGCAGTGGCTGTTTTTCCTTTGGTGATGGAGAGAGGTGAACAAAGCAGACTGGATGCTTTTTGACCAGCTGAGGTAGGATTCATGGGCAGGATGAAGGATTAAACCTGAGAGCTGAATGCTGCAGTGATTTATGTGCTCTTGCTTATTAAGCAAAGTAATATTAGGCTGTGTTGATTTTTAACATGGTATTTCTTTTTGCTATTTTAAAAATCTTTTCAAACTTAGATGGGATTGAAAAAGTGTCTTAAGTTTTAGCCATGAGCCTTTAAGTTGAGGGAGATACCTGATGCTGGTGGTCACTGCTGTGGGAAGAAACAAAACCCAAGAAGTTTTCCTGTGTGAAAATGGTTTTTTTCCTCACTTTTTCTCTTATGTTTTGATCTTTTAGCCTAAAGCTGCTTAAACCAGGACAAGAACCTCTGAAATACCAAGGCCCTAGGGACTTCCAGGCACTGGAAAACTGGATGTTGGAGAAACTAAATGAGGAACCATCTGTAAGTGAAAGGGGAATAAGAAGAGTGCTGCTTTGGGGATTTAAAACTTTAGAGTCCTGGATTTACAACAGGACTACAGAATGGTGTGACACAGGAGTCAAATATTGTGTGTTTACTGTTTGAGGTGAATAAAAGTTAATTTTTCTCCTCAATAGGATGCAGAATCTGAGGTGGAACCACCAAAAGCCCCTGAACCAAAGCAGGGAATGTACGAGCTCTCAGCAGAGAATTTCAAGTTGCACATAGCAGAAGGTAACTGAATTTTTCACAAGGAAAAGATAACTTGGTTAGAGTGGGTGGTCTGCAACAGAAATATTAGTTTTCAAGGGACCTCCTTCCCACTTTTATTTTCCAGTAATCCCTAGTGAAAGAGGATGAAAGTACAGACTGAAAATGCAGTAGATTAATTATGGTTTGCACAGCATGAGGAAGTTCAAGAGCAGCACTCCACTCAGACAGTAAAATTCAGGCCCCTAATCACATGGAAGAAGCTAGTGGAGCTTGCTCAACTAAACTGTGTTTTTTTCCCTGAGTTTCTGGCTCAGTCAGAGCCTTGCCACTCACTTGGTGTCTTCACAAGTCCCATTTCCTCCTTCCCTAGGTGCTGGCTTGGTCTTGCTGCCAGGCTGCTGCTCTGGATAAATATAACCCACCCTCTTCCTCCTTACTGCCCCCTTCTCACTCCAGTCTGACCTCTTATTTGATATTGTTTAGCTTCCTTCCTCCAGAATTTAATGCAGGCAAAACACTTCAGCTCTTTGGCCATTTCAAAAATGTTTTGTCTGGAAGCTTTAAAATTAATGCCAGGAGTGAAACTTTGAAATTCATGCCAGGAGTGATATTTTTAAATTAATGCTAGGAGTGATACTTAGGGGAAATTTCACCCCCCCCATGTGGAGGGGTTTTTTAGAGAATGAGCAAAATCTTCCAATACAGATTTTGGGCTGTTGTGACAAGAGGTGATCCTACCAGTTTTCCTAAAAACAAAGATAAGATCCAATGAACTGTCTCTGCCCACAGGATGCCACCAGAGAGGTGGATACTAGAGCTTCTTAAAGGAACCATTAGTTGCTTAGAGCTTCTTAAAGGAACCCTTAGTTGCTTAGAAATATTTTCAGGTGTAAAAGAGCATTTTTTGCAGCTAGGCTCAAATTTCCCAGCCTGTGTGGTTAAACAGAGAATTAACATCAAAATTCTTCATGGGTACTTCTCAGGATTAAGATGAGGAGATAGTACAGAGACTTTCCTCTCTATAAAACACTCCAAAAACCTACTAAAGGCAGTGATTTCTGAAGAGGTGATAGGAAAACACAAAGAGCAGGGCAGAAAAAAGACTGGAAAGCTGATTATTTGGGTAGTTAATTTATTTATGCTGCTCTAAATACCTGTTCCTTGGTGGTTCTTTCTACTCTGTAGCAACAGGCAAATGAGGGACCTGGTAGAAAGATTGTAGCTAATGGTTAGGCTAAAAATATCACTTTTTTTTATACCTCATTTGTTGGCTTGAGGTTGTGAAGCTGGATTTTCAGGGAAATTGGCAACACTGGAAACCTAATTGCTGAAATATTCTCTCCTGGCCTCTGATTCTCAGCTCAGGAAATACCGGGAGAAATTTGCAGCCTGAGATTAGCCCCTCGTCTTTTAATTGCAGCCAAATTCATTCCAAATGAGTTAAAGCTTGTTTTGTTTTGTTTTTCTTTGACTCAAAAGGCCATCACTTCATCAAATTCTTTGCCCCTTGGTGTGGTCACTGCAAGGCTTTGGCCCCCACCTGGGAGCAACTGGCACAAGCCTTCGAGCATTCGGAAACGGTGAAGATTGGCAAGGTGGGTGAAGAAGCTCTGAGCCTGACTGTCCCTGGTGAATGAATGGTTCAAACCCAAGGCCAGGCTGTGGTTTGGAAATCACAGTTGTGTTGTTTGTCACCTCTTCAATCCTTTTAGAGCTGGAGGTTCTGTTTTGGTTTTGGGATGGTTATGGTTTTTTAAGACTGGCTCGTTTTAAGCAAGGACTTGGTGGAAGCACCGTGGGCTCCCTCTGTTTCAGAGAGGGCTGGGAGTAAGTCTAATACCTCACAGAGGCAGGGAATAATGTTTTGAGATTATTTTTTTATTATGCTTCCCTTTTATCAGAACTAGATAGACCAGTATTTGATTGGGAAAGTAATTTCTCATCTGCTTTTCACAGCACTGGCTTCCTTAGGAAGCTTTAGACCTACAGGGCTCTTTGTGATGAATTATTTTTTGGTTATTTGGGGTTTCTTTTAAATCCTCTTTACCCTCACAGAACTTTCTAAAGGTTTCAAGGGCTCTCCCACCTTAAAAACTGATCTGTTGTCCTGCTTTACTATTTCCCTCAGGGTTGATAACCAGGTTCTGTGGTGTATTTACCATGGGAGCTTGTTACTTGTACGTGGAGTGACTTCTGTGCAGAGGTATGGAGGTGGTCTGGCCATTGCAGTTACTGGCTTGATTTGCTGACCCATACCTAGGTCCAGGTGGCTCATGGTGGGAATCCCTCTGTGTTTTCCAACACTGGAAAACTGACTTCTTCATGTCCTCAAGCTGATCTGACAGATTTTGTCACAGTCAGCAGGGGTGGCAGTCCCACAGAGGGACACAAGCCCTGCCTCTGCCCTCACATCACTTCCAGCTGTGACCAGGGGTGATAAGATCAACTTCTTTTTATTTTTGGTTTTGGCTTTTATTTTTGTTTTTAATGCTTTTGAAAAATCTGCTAATTCAGGTATGCTGTAGAGGCACAGAGCAGGTCAGCAGAGTTGAACTTTAGAGAAGATAGAGATCTATATCTCTAATATATAATTTTGAGACCTGGTGGAGAGAAAATTAAACTCCCTCTGAGAATCATAGAATTGTTTTGATTGGAAAAGCCCTTCAAGCCCAACCATTAGTTCATATAATAAAATACAGGAAGCTGTTGCTTCTTTGATGCTTTCTGTACCAACTTTTGCATCTGCTGATGAACCTTGAGAACTTTGAGAACCTTGCTGGCTGTCTGATTAAACCTTTGCTTAGCTTAAGAATCTTCCTGAAGGTGCCACCCTCTGATATTCAGATTAAAATAAACAAAAACTTTCCCCAATTTCTGTTTGATTCAGTTGGTCTGTCATGTCAGCAGTTACTTCCAGCTGCTACTTAATAAAGCCACTAGGATTTGTCTCCATGCCCAGTCAATTTTGTGTGTGTGTGTATATCTTGTGAAACTATTTGAAACATGTCTTGGCTGAGATTGGAAGTAAACAGGAAACACAACTGTTTTTAAGAAGGTTGAACCATGACCTTCATGTAAACTGGGGGGGGAATAAAGTCTGAACAGCAAGGATACCTACTGGCAGGATGCTGTTTAATCTTCAGGACTGATCTTCAGTGGCCTGGAGCAGAGTGGTTCTCATGCCAAACCCCAAACCCAAATGCTGTGTCAAGCAAAGGCTCCTGGGTGCTGTTATCTGATGTATAATCTTTTGGAAGCAGATAAAGCTGATAACTTTGCAGGCTGAGTTAGGACCTATTAGAACTTCCCTTGGAGTAAACTTCACTTGCTAGCTGTTGACACAGCTTCCAAAGTCTTCCAAGAGTAATTTGGGAAATGAGATGAGCCAATTTTTCCTCACTTTAAAGCTCTCTCACATTAGCATTTTGTGTCTTATTGTCCATGCAGTGATTTTATTTACTGAGAACATCAAGTACTTTTTAACTGGAATATGTTATTAAGTCTTCATTGTCTTTTGTAACTATTACTTCTATCTGTACCTCCCTCCAAAACCTCCAAAAAATGTTACTTCTATCTGTACCTCCCTCCAAAACCCCCCCAAAAAAATCAAACACACACACACAGAGCCTCCCAATTATCCAACCAAACCACTCTTTCAGCCCTAATCATTCTGAAGACAGCACTTGGTGCTGAGTTTTGCCAAGGCATTTGTTGCTGTTCCTGGATTTTTCTGAGATTTTAAACCTAAGGGAGGCTGTGCTGCCTGTTGTGTGTTTGCCTTGTGCACTGAATCATCTATATATGTTTTTTTTTTAAATGTAGGTGGACTGTACCCAGCATTATGAAGTCTGCTCTGAAGCCCAAGTTCGAGGCTATCCCACACTCCTCTGGTTTAGGAATGGTGAAAAGGTGAGTCTGGGAGCTCAGCTCAGACCATTTCTCTTTTATTTTCTGAATAATACTTGAACCATGCTTGCATCCTGGGGAAAAAAGATCAAGTGGAACATCCAGCAGTGTGTTTGTGAGAGAAAAGGTGTTGGATGTGGAAGAGGTTCACTTCACCCCCAGATAAGAGTTTTCTGCTCTTTTCTGCAAATAACTGGGATGATGTTCACCAATCTGTGGGCAGTATCTCCAATTATCATCTCCACTGTGTCACAGAGCTCTGCATTTATCTTAATACCTCCTATGGGACACCAAACCATAGATGAAAGAGGAATAATAAAAAAAATAAGTCATTTTCCCAGTGTGCATCAGAGGGTTCTCCTCTGTCAGTGGTGGCAATTTTCCTTCTCATAAATCTGAACCCTTCCTATGACACACTGAGTGAGAGTCCTGTGGGTCCAGGTGACATTTTTCCTTGTAGCCAGTCAAAGCATGACAACATTCTGAAGGGGGAAGTAGAAGATTTATAAACACCACAGGGAGGAACAGCAGCAAATAAATGTTTTATCAGTAGTAGTGTTGTTGTATCTTTCACACTTTCATTAGATGTTTTAAATGAATACTAAAAACAGGTCTGCAAGTAGAGAAGCCAGAACTCTTCTTTTAGCTCTTACCCACTAAGATTTGGGGTTTTGCCCCATCCTTCTTACATTCCTTTTTGAACATCTGCAATATCAGAGCTGTGAGTTTTGCTGCCCAATCCAGTTGAGTGGCTGTTGCTTGTGGCAGTTTTCTGGCACTCTGAAGAGAAAGTGGACACAGAAAAGTGTGTACTCACTGCACTTGCTCTTCCCTGAGTACACACCAGTGCCTGTGAGGTTTGGCACCAGCACCATTATTCCCTCACAGGCTGGGTCAACGTGGGGTGGGGTTTTTTTTTTTTGACCCTTTATTAACATTTGGGTTGCTCAAGAGTTACTTGAAGCAGAGTGGGGTGGGAAATAAAAAGCCAGATCACTGCTGCTGTGTTTGTAAAGCTGAATCTTGGCCATCAGTCTGAGCAGTGTGTTTGTGTTGGCATCTCCCTGGCTTCCCTCCACTGGCAGAGTGAGGTTCCCTGGGGACACACTGCCACCAGAATCCCATGTTCCTCTGTGGGCTGCTGGGACAATATATTTTGAAAAACCACAAAACAACCCCAACAACTTTCCAAAAATCTGACCTAGAAATTCCTGGAAATCTCTCTGGCTGCTATTCTGCTATTCATTCAAGGGGGAGGAGAAGGAGGAGGAGGAGGAGAACTGCTTCAGGCAGCCAGCTTTGTTGGCCATAATAGCATCATCCCCTTTGTCATAATTGAAGTGTGGTGACATAACTGAGGTCTGGCATCACACCAGCCCCCTTGGTGAGATGCAGCAGGAACCCTGCTGGGAAGGAGGGCACTGACCTTGCCCTGCTGAAATGGATAGAGACAAACAGGTACAGGCTTCTTGCACCATCTCAGCCTAATTCTTTTGTGACTTAGTCCCTTTGTGGGGTAAGTAGCTGTAGTTACAAGTAATTAGCAATGACAAAAGAAGGCAAAAGTGTGGAAGGAGTTCCAAAGGTGTAGGAACAGGTTGAAGAGGTGTCAACGTGTGGAAGTGTGTAGGTTGTTTCTTGAAGAGCATTCCTCATCTCTGAGAGGAGATACAGTCTTGTAGCCCACACCTCAAGGGACTGAAACTCAAGAATTCTTCATCCAAAATGGATGTGTAGTGTCTCAAAGAGATGATCTCTCCTCCTGACAGAGAAATCAGCACTCATTTTCACAGGGAGTGCTGAGGGCCAGTTTGGAGATGGCCAGCAGTGGATCTGAGACTAGGAACTGCCCAGGGGTGCTCTGACTTCTTGTGGAAGCAGCTGAGATATGGGGAAGCATCTAAGGGAGATGGTGGCTTCAGGAAGATCTAGCTGGTGGAGGGCTTGATGGCTGAACATTGGTGAGAGTGGTGCAGCTCTTGCCTCTTGGGCACTGGAGAGAGCATTGGTGTTTTCAGAGGATGTGTGACAAGTGCATGGGCCAGAGGAGGTGCAAGTCAAGCACTGGGCAGAGGTCTCATGGTAACCAAGACCCCCACCAAACAGCAGTGGGGACTTCACTGTTCCTTGCAGTAGCTTGAGGGTCAAAAAAATAAACCCTTGACAAAGCTGATGAGAGTGAGACAGGAAAATCCAAGTGGAAAAGGTCCTAAAATTTGCTTCTATATTTCTAAAACACTTCCCCTTTCAAGGAAATCATACCCTTTGGGTACAGAAGGCAAGTCCTGAAGATATGGAGTGAATGGAATGCCATGGAGAGCTTGAAGAACTAGATAATTCTATTTATTATGAATAAGCTTACACTTAATAATCTGCTGTTTTACTTCTGTGCTGGATAACCTGCCTATAGAGACTCTCACAAACTCTCTGCTACTTCCAGGGCGACCAGTACAAAGGGAAGAGGGACTTTGAGTCCTTAAAGGAATATGTGGATGCCCAACTACAGAGCTCTGGGAAAGAGCCACCAGCAGATGAAGCCACTGAGGCCCCACAGCCACCCACAGAAACCCCCCCTGCTGAGGTGGGTGCTCCTGTGCTCTGCAGCAGTTTGAAAAGGGTTCAAACTGCTTCAACAGTTCTTTCAGGATTCTCCTCTGAACCCAGGAAGATGGTGCATGCTCCTAAATCCCTAAAAAAAACCCCAAACCAGGGGTTTTATTTACAGATTATCTGCAGAAACAAGACAAGGTGATGAAAATGGATCTAGATGGGGCAAGGGAGCCTGTGAGAAGAAGACTCCTCAGGTTTGGAGGCTTAGTCCTGGCTGTGGGAGCTCCAGGAG